GCCCCAGTCAGCCGGATCGGCTGCTTGGGACCACCCTCCTGGTCACTGACTGGTGTCAGAGGCACCAGACCTACCCATGGCCACTGCTGAGAGGGAAGGAGGTCAAGGCAGGTTTACAGTCCAATATGAGGGCAGAGGTTAGGCTGCCTGAGTAGGAGGGATCCACATCAGGGTCCGAAAGTCAGACTGGAATAGAGTGAGGCCCAGTGTGGGGCTACAGCCATATATTGATGCCATCTGCGAGGCATGGGACATGATGTAGGATGGTATGGAGCCATGTATTACGCCTTTGGCATTGGGCATTAAATGGGCAGCCTCCCACCTATAAGCAACTTCTGAGTTGCATCAAAGGCATGGCAGGAGAGGCAGGTGGGTGACTTCCCTAGACAAGTAGGTGGACCAATGATTGGACTGGCCTCGAGATAGCTCCCTATCACAGCTATTAAAAGAGATAGACCATGGGACTAGATGGATCACAGAAAAAGATTAGGCCCTTAATGACAAGTTTCTGAGTTGAGGCCTGGAGCATGAGTTTTGCTCATCTCCTCTTCTGCAGATTTACTCAATTCCCAAGAAAGAATGACCTGGCAAAAACTCCAAGTTTTAAAACAAGTGCAATTTTTTTTATCAAATTGTAGAGAACAAGCAGGTACAATGCCCATACAAATCAATAACAACAATCACAATTTTCTTATGTAAGACAACATTAACATTTGAAGGCTTCCCCTCTTATTCAACTCCTTTAAATTAACCTGCTCTCATAAAGGCATTGCTTCATTTCAAGTACAAGGAGAACTGTGTAAAATTTCTGACCTCCTTCTTCTAGATGCTGCTCACCAGTGTTGTCAGCAGTCTCTCCCAGTCTGGGGACCAGCTTGAGAGTTCCCCATCTTCTCATTACCTGATGGTAATTCTGCTCTTTAAGAAAATGTAAACTCAGTGACAACCCTTTACACAACTGCGGCAGAACCTGGACTGTTTAACTAAGCAATGGAGTGATGCTGTTTTGGAGGCATTTGCTTTCCCAGGATTTTGCTTTCTCATATAGCTCCCCAGGAGTCGGGGGAAGGAGGATGGCTCTTTTCCTTTTTGTACTACCCACGTGTTCCAGCTTTGCAGGAATTCCAGTTGTTAGCAGCTCCCTAATCAACCTTGCTTCAACTTTGGTGAAATCCCTGATAGAAAGGGAAGGCTGAAAGCATGCTCTTCTCTCCACAGAGAAAAAATCTACACATGGCATCTGGGTTTCCTGGGCTGCCTCTTTATTGGCTTCTTCCCTTCTCCTGTTCCTTGAGGGAGGAGATAGATGTGAAAAAAAAATTCTTCATTGCCTCACTTTCCTTCAGCCACTGGGACAGCATTTAGGTTTGAGAATTCAAATCTGCACCTCTGAAAATGTGAAAAGATTCAGTTTTAAGGAGCAAGGATTTGCTCAGGTCTAGTTTGTTCATATGGAGCATTACAAGTAAATGAATCTCTCCCCCAGCTTTCTGTAGGACCTGTTCCTTTTTTACAGCCTTTCTTTTAGTATTGACTCATACTAGAAGGTTTTCTCTGTGGGACCACATCGTTGGCACCGTACTGCACAACAGGTGCTCAGAACCCCAGGGCGAGTGCAGGGATAGAATTCAGATCCTTCAATCCTGGAGGTCCGTTATCACTTGAAAGAAATGAGAAGCTCTCTTAGCACCAATTAGTGTAGGGAGCGTGCTACAAAGTCAAGCAGTTTTGTTTCATCTGAGAAGAGGGCAATAGAATATATGCACAATAAGCGGCTTATCACAGTACATTTTCCCCAGAAACGTCAGCATTCCTGTTTACCTACCAGAATACGTTGTATGAGACCAACATTTTACCCTGTTGCCTGAGTTGAATCTGAGTGAGGAGCTCATGATTGGGCCTTTGGGCAATAACATGTGTTTCCCACCCAGCACCCTGGAAATGGCTGCTGCTGCTTTGGTTGTGTTATGAGCAGTGTTGGTGTGAGCTAGTTAATATTCTACATGAGCTCTGTACAGAGCGATCTGGGCCCTTCTTGCTAGGGTAGCACCAGGTGCATTTACAAGATGTTTGGACAGGGGACACATTGGAGAGTGAGGCAGCCATGGTCAAAGAGTTTGTGTGGCAGTGTCCCCTTTGGAGTCCATGTGTTAGTCTCAGGATCGTAGCAGTCCATTGAATCAGAGTCTTCAATGACGTTGTCGGTGGTGAGACAACGCCCACCGGTAACAAACAATTTGTTCTTGATCACAGCAGCTCCATGATGCATCCGTCTGTCCTTCATGTCTGCACATTTAACAAACTTGTTGGCTTTTGTATCATAAGCAATTATTCTCCGTGTATATCCTGGATGGGACAGATGAATAGGAGTTATAGTCTACATCTAACAGAAGCAATAACAACAATTTTCTTCAGTGGTCCTCCAGGATCATTATGAATCTTGTATAGGACTAAGCATAAGGAGTTTACCTGGGAGGTGAGAACTTGCCACAGATTAACCTCCTTCCCTGCCTGAGTCCACACACTGGCTCCCATCCTCACAATATTTGAGTGTAGCTGAATGCTATAAAACACCCCGGAGATGCATTTGCTGTACTAGATCAGATAGTTGATCTTCACAGGTTATACTTTCAGTTTTTTGCCTAGGGTTTTTAAATCTCTGGGCTATTTCTCCCAGCTGAAATCGGATCAGAGGGAAATCTTTTGAAGCACTGGAGAAAAATCTTAGCATAGTTCCCTCCCTATAGGGGGCTTACCCTGTGTAGGAGGTGCTTTGCTTGAGGGGGACAAGTTTCTACCACATCAGTCCCTTGATGGCAGAGGGAAGTGGGGTGAAGTTTGTCTTGCCAACCTGTGAACAGGCGGCAGGTGGGTCAGCTCCCTAGTTCTGTAGATCCTTTGAGGTAAGTGCTGGAGCCCAGGCATCTAGAGCACTTTTTCTCTTTTCTACCTGAGAAGAACGCAGCCTACCCCCCACCCCGACTACACAAGTTCATTAGGGTATTGCCACTGGTGGCTCGCCTAGGTGGTTACTGTTCCAGGCACTGTCAGTCAGCAGGGGTTTCCATAGCACAGTGGATGGGTTAGTATTGATAAGGCCGGTAGCTTTCTAGTCCCTTTGGGTTAAGCAGAGGGTGCCCAGTGGCCTGGAGTCTTTTTCTCATGGGTAGTTTATTACTTGTTTGGCAGCTGTCTTAAAAAACAAAAAGAAATCTTTGGCTAGAATAGTAAAGACAGCTAAATGCCTTGCAAGCACCATGACAGGGCAAAGCAACTGGCTTATTCCTCCTCCCAGTTTTCTTCCCTTGCACACCCTTTGTGACCTCTGTCCACAGACCACTAAGACATCTTGCTATACTGACATTTGAGTGACGGAATCTGAAAGCTTCCTTATGCAGGGCACATTCAAGGATTGGTCATGGACTCGCGCACTATGAACTCCTGGTAGGGACCCATTTCTGTTCCCACATGTGCAAAGGATCTCATTAACATCATTTAGGATTTTGGTTCAAGCTGTGTATATGTAGAAATTTTATGGTGGACTTTGGTCTAAAAGATTCCCTTCCTTATTCCCTTTTCACTGATCAGTGATGAACATTTGGCCAACGTGTAGGCAAAACTGCTAGTAAATGAAGACTGCATGAAATAAATCTGCTCTAAAGCAAAATGAAAGATGTTTAAAGACCAAAAAGTCTGTTAAAGACAGACTTTTCTAGTACCTCTATCTAATTGCCCATCTTATTTAGAGAGAGACCTAAACTAAGAAATGAGATGCTTTGAATGTGTAAGGAAGGGGCTTGTGCTCCAATTTAGATCTGACCCTACCGCTTGTAGTCTCAGCTTGGGTCAGGACTAATGTTGCGAGAAATCTACCTTCTGCCTCCACAGGTGATCTCACCAGGTGTTTTGCCATTTGGAGCTGAAGTCTCATGAGTTTTGACTCCCATGAGATCAGCACCTGAAGCCCAGCCCTCACTCTGATTCTGTTTCAGATTTGGATCTTGGTGCACTTAGAGAAACTGCCAACAGAAATTCAAGTGAGCGCACAAGGGAGAAAAATGAGGGTCCTTTGTCAGTAAAAACAAAGCCCCTGTTGTTCAGGCCAGTCAGTTCTCCTTTGTTTTGAAATCAGCTGTAATGCAAGGCAGACTTGAAGTGCAGTGAATGCTATTTGAAAAAAAAAAATGTTATGGTTGTTTCGTAAGTTCAATCATTGATCAGCCACAAACATTTGGCCAACATTTTGGCATTGCTAGTAAATAAAGTCTGCATGCGGTAAATTTCTCTGCTTTAAAACAAAATAAAATATGTTTAAAATTAGCTTGGATTTATTATCAAAAACCCACAAAAATCCAAATGACTGACACTCCTCAGCAGAGTACTTGGACCAATGTGAGGCTTTGGATAGATATGTTTCAAGATAAAATATGTTGCCCTCTTCCTCTGTGATCTAGTAGCAAGGTGAGCTGCCTTGCTTGCTTCCCTGAGAGCTCAACCCTGAACCGTTCACTCAAGCTCAGGATTCTGGCTCCCTTACTCATGTTGCAGATAGGCCCAAGAGGGGAAGGGTGGTTCAGTGGTTAGGAGCTGGAAGATCCACGTTCAACGTCCTATTCTGTTACAGATTTTTTTTGTGAACATGGGCACATTCCTTTGCCTCCCTGTATCTTAGATCCCTATATATAAAAGAGTGAGGTGCTCTGATGCAGATGCTCAGAGTACTAGAGATAGATAGAATGGGACTGCATAAATAAGGAGGAAGAAACTGGCCTCAGTGTTGTGTGAGAAATTGAGGAACTGCTGTTCCCCACACATCTTTAAATGCTAATTACTGGGAACTTTACATCTTTCAGGAAAGAGGAGAAAGGCCACAGCTTTAAATGTCTGCTTTGCATAGTAGTACAGGGAGTAGATTTTGAGTCCAAGGAGCACCCCGCTCCCTGAGCATTCGCACTAAGATCAATGAAGTGAAGTACAGTGCAGCAGCTCAGCATAAGAGTTGCAAAACCAAACTCATTTGTTTCTATAAAACATCACAATGCTCAGTTCCCTTCCTGTCTAGCCCTGATAAGGGGTATCCTCCAGCTGCATCAACTCAGGGGTAGAACAAGGAAGGAACTGGAATCCCATTTCTAATTCCTTTTCTGATTTCCTTCATTTTCTGTGAAAGAAGTAGCATGCATTTGCCTGTCAGCAGATTGTCTCCCTCTGGACCAGCTGGCAGGCTGTGAGCAGGGGCAGAGTTGGGATTCTGCTTATTCCTTCTCTTTATCCACCCACCTGTCTGAGAAGGTAGCAGCAGCCCCATGATGTCTCCTCTCTCCCTCATGCTCTGGCTCTAAAGGCTGCGGTAGGCACATGGGAGCTAGGGGGAGCACATGGCATTGCAGGCCAGCAGTCATGTAACCAAGTAGGGGTGACCCAGTCAGCAGTTTCTAAATTTTTCGCTGGTGACCCAGCTTCTGGTTCAGTTGAATCTCTGTGTGGCTTGCAATACTTACCATAAATATCGTAATGCCTAATTTGGGAACCACTGCCCATAAGGAGTGGCTGACAGTATTGTCCAGTTTCATGAACCCCGACTCTCTGTCTGGTCAGGTTGGTGATACCGCATAACTGGGAATGTGTTGAACAGACATAATGGGCACTGACAGAAGCGACATTTGTTACACGTTCAGCCCCCTGAAAGTGCTCTACAGCTGTGCCCTGACAGTGCTTGATCGCAGGGGGTCTACCTTATTTAATGAGGGTTCAGATGAAGGCGCTCCAAAAGGGAGTGCCTTCATTAACTTCTGTCAACTGCCCAGCCCTGCTCCCAGTGCTGTCTGCAGGATGGGAGGGGAAAGAAAAAGGGGAAGGGAGCTCTGGGCTGGGGTTTGCCTAGCCTGAGCTGGGGTGGGTGGATTGGAGCCCCTCTGCCTTGCGCCCCGCTCAAGCTTCTCCACCCCAGCTGAGGCTGGTCAAACCCCAGGCTGAAGCTCCCTCCCCTCCCTTCTCTCCTTCCCATCCTGCGACAGCACTGGAGCTGGGAGGGGGGGCAGGGCTCAGGGAGAGAAGTTGCAGACAGGCAGCCTCTTTGCTGGATCAGCTCCAAAGTGGAGCTGTTTCCTTCCCCCACCCCACCAAACAGTGAACATCTGTTGGGTTTGTGGGGAGTCACTCTAAACCATAGCGCTTTCTGTGAAGCACCATGAGGTAGAACAGGGAGCTGCTCATCTGGCTACTGGGGATGACCTAGTTGGTGACCTAGTGATCGATGGGAAGCTGGGTGACAGCAACCACGAGCTGATCACCTTCACCATCCGCCGAAAAGCTGGCAAGTCGGTCAGCAACGCGCAAGTCCTTGACTTCAGGAAAGCCGACTTTGACAAGCTCAGGAGGCTTGTCAGTGAGGCCCTAAGGGACCGTGACCACAGGGAGAGGGGAGTTCAAGAGGAGTGGTTGCTCCTCAAGGGAGCGATCCTCAATGCACAAACTAAGTCTATTCCATCTCGGAGGAAAGGCAGCAAGAGGGCACAGCAGCCCCCCTGGCTCTCCAGGGACCTAGCAGACCTCCTGAGGCTAAAAAGAAAGGCCTACAAAGGATGGAGGATGGGAGTCACCTCCAAGGAGGATTATTCTGCACTGGTCCGGTCCTGTAGGGAGCAGACCAGGAAAGCCAAGGCTGCAACTGAACTCCAGCTAGCTTTGAGCATCAAGGACAATAAGAAGTCCTTTTTCAGATATGTGGGGAGCCGGAGGAAAAGCAGGGGCAACATTGGACCCCTGCTGAACCAGATGGGGCAACTGACAACTGACACCCAGGAAAAAGCCAACCTATTAAATAGGTACTTTGCGTCAGTCTTTCATCAGTCCCATGGGACGCCCATGCCCGCTACAGGGCCGGGAAGTCTGGGTGAGGGTGATCCCCTGCCCTCCTTTAATGCTGACTTTCTGAAGGAACATCTTGAGAAGCTGGATACCTTCAAGTCAGCCGGCCCTGACAATCTTCACCCCA